TCAGAACCATACTGGAAATGTCTGGTTACCGACGTTTCAAGAGTTTGGTGAGGTGATCGTAAACGAAATTAAACAGAATCAGAAACTATATCATTGTTGCCACAAATATGGTTCTAGTTTAGACTGATTCCTGCATTGAGGTTTAGCCTAGCACATGTCACCAGTATTCACATTGAAGCTCAACATAGCTCTTTTTTTTATTTGCTGATGGAGTTATCTCTGTAACGCTATTATACTGTATGTCTCCTTCCAGCTAAGGCACACCTACTTCTAAGAGAAGTCAAAGTCCGAAAATAAACTGTGGCTTCATCTTTGCTATCATGCAAATATGCAATATACGGTGCTCATTTGCCAACACAAAGTAAAGCAGTGAAATATATTTTAAAAAACTAGAGTCTATTAAATAGTGTAAGGGTTGGCTTAAGAGAGTGAGAACTTGATGCTTAGTACATTGCCAAATAGATATCATTGTGTTGTAATATTGCAGTGCCTTGTTGAGGAGCAGTGGCGTGCTTTAACTCAGAACATTAAAATGAGAAGGTAAATCTTGAGAAAATGCAAAGACATCATTTGCACAAGGTTGTGTGTGTGTGTGTGTGTGTGTGTGTGTGTGTGTGTGTGTGTGTGTGTGTGTGTGTGTGTGTGTGTGTGTGTGTGTGTGTGCGTCTAAGTTTTCTTATTCCAAGAAAATGGGATCAGCATGGACTCTTTTAAACACCGTCAATAGTTTTCTGTACTGTATTGCTACGATTGCACACTTACTAATATTTGCTGTAACAACTTTGAAAGATTTTTTTTCAACTTTGCCTTCTGAAGTTTAAAAAAATTCATTTAAATCCTTTACTTTGACAAACTGGTGTACTTGTTGATGTCACTTTTTAAACAGATGATTTTCCATCTGGAATATTTTTCCAGTGAACACGCGCATCAAATGGTTATAGTTTTAGGACAACAGATAAACGAAGACATTCAGTCATCATCATTTTCAAACAGCATTTTGCTCACATATGAAACAAATTATAAAAATTATTAAATTATTAACAAAAATAAAACAACTCCAGGTTATAAATATTTCAGTGAAAGACTCATAACTAAGCTAGTGAAACTCAACTTAAATTACAACTCTCTATGTACACCTAGAAGGAAAAGGAACCAATGAAATTACAGGTCAGCATAGATTTTATATTTGAGAATCAAAGTTTTCTATAAAAGAAGTTGAAAAATGGTAAAACAATCTCTAAAACTAATTGTAATCAGTTTGAATGTGTTCAATATGATTATTAATAGAAATCAAATATGCAGGTAAATCATTATTTTGGTGAAATATCTTAAAGAATGATTTTCCTGATCAGAATCCAGTGCCTGTTCAGATATTTGATTCTCAATGTCATGTGATTATTCCTGAGGGGATAACTAAGGGGGTTAGGAACCCTGAAAACAGCAGAGGGAAACTATGAGCATGTGGACGCAAACAACAGATAGACAATAATGTGTCAGAGTAAACAGTAGCAAACAAGCTGGAAGCCTATTTGGCTTCAAGCTTAACAAAGTACCATGAATCACATTAAACAGCACCATTAATCTTTATAAGGATACCAGCGTGATCTAACAATTATGAAGCAAATTAAAAAATAAATGTATAAGGTGAGTAAAAACTGATAACAGACTCATCAGAACTTATTTTAAAGGACCACTGGATCATATTCCAGCATTTATTGTAATGAGTCGAATGGAAAAAAAGTGAAAATATGTTAGTGTTTTAAGAGAACCCTGTTTACCCTGTTCATGTTTCTCCCGATATTACATTTGGCGCATTGGCTGGGTGAGATTGGACTCTGGCAGTGACAACCAGGGGCGTTGCACGTAGGGTGAAAGGCCCTGTGTTGGCTTTAAAAGAGTGAGGCACTGCTCTTTGATGTAAATGTGTAATTGCGCATGAATAAAGGTTGATCTTAGAAAAGAATTACTATAATTGTTGGATGAGACAAAAAATGTTGTAAACAACACATTTATCTACTGTTTATCCTTGGGGCTTCTCCTCGTGTTATTGGCTACTGAGCTTCCTCAGCGGATGTCTGTCTGGCCTGCTGCGACCAAGGCTACCAGCCCCTTTGCTGGTTTTGGGTGCTGAGATTTTTAAAATCAGCACTCTTCTCATCATCTTAACACTTTATTTTATTGATATAAGCTATCCAGGTTAACACAAAATGCAACATTTCTGCTTGTAGGAAAAATTATGGCTTTGTGGAAGTATTGTCTTTTAGTATCACAACAATTAACCCTTGAGAAGAACTTACTGACACTGTTGGATGACATGAAGAAGCTATAAAAATTGGAAACAACTTTTTTTCTACTTCTTCTTGTATTGTAGTGATCTTTTAATATATGTACAATGGTCCAGCGGGGAAAATCCAGATGGAGAATAAACTACTTGCTACATGCATCAGGCAGTTCTAAGTCATACCGGTTGAAGCTGCTACTCTATTGATATTCCGTAAAAATTCAAAAAAATATCCACTGGACTTGGTTTTCAAGATTTGAAGACGTTTCGCCACCTCTCCAGGAAGCTTTCTCAATTCAAATGGCACACATTTGAATTGAGAAAGCTTCCTGGAGAGGTGGCGAAACGTCTTCAAATCTTGAAAACCAAGTCCAGTGGATATTTTTTTGAATTTTTACGGAATGACTATGACCTGGATGACTGAGAACCTTCATCAGCATACTCTATTGAGACCCAATGCCACTGGTGTGGTTGAGCCTCCTGAGGCCTCCAACTGATTGGTAAGTTAGTGATAATAATTTGGATATTTAGCCCCACTCCATTCACACATTCTATCAAAGGATGTGAAGAATATAGTTATTGTTCAATGGAGGCCATAAGAAATCTTCTTAGCAGTTTCTCAAAAGACATGTGTAGGACCAGAAGAAAAGGAAGGTGTTTCTGTTCAGAAAATCTAAAACTAAGGCTGTTTCTAATTTCAAGAACGTGAGTACGGACTCATGTCCTTGCCAAGTAGGTTCTTGAGAATAACACAGAAAAGTATGGACTTGTATAGACATGGGGAGAACAGGAGCATAAATATGGATCAATTGGAACAGAAGCATACTTATGACATCACCACACGCTCGGCTCGCCTGCATTTCACCTCTTGTTATTAATCGTCACCAGATAATAAATTCTTACTTTTTTTATTTATTTGGGGAATAATAGTTAACACAGTCAGATAAACACAAATCAAATGAACATTTTGCCAAAGAAAACAAAAAACTTGCCATCATAGCCAGCGGTCGTTAACACACCGCTATGCAGAGAGAGGGCTGCTGCAGACGGGCTAAGATTAGATCTGGTTGCCGTTACCCTCGGAGGTCCGCTGGTTGCCGCGGTCCTCTCAACTTCGGAAATAATTTTTTTAATTATGCATTAAAACAGCAAATGGGCCAAAGATCGGCAAATGGGCCAAAGATCGGTAAATGGGCCAATAAAACATACTTTTTAGAGTACAGAAGCGCATGAGAACGCACATGTACACATATTGCAAAAAAGGCCTACATTTTATTTTATAACCTATGTGTATATAGTATTTGTGGAGGAAAAAGAATCCATGGCGACACCCAGTAGAGACAGAACCATGCAGGTTTCCTTTAGCACTCACATATAGCCTTGTCTGGGTTAAACCGATGATATATGGAGCTTAACAGAGAGAAGTTTTGACTGGAGTGTAAGTTTTCCTGTTAGCAGAGCAAACCAGAACATCACACAGAAATCAAATCAAGTTAATCTGCTAGAATGGCTCAGTCAAAGTTTAGACCTTCATCAAACTGAAAAATCTGTGGGAAGGCTTGAAAATTAATCTGACTGATTTAAGCTAAATCAGCCCTTCAATACGAGTATTAGGGCCAGGCTAGAGATTTTTGTTTTTCTTCTATTTCAAGAATAAAGTCATAACATTATGAGGATAAAGTCGAAAAATTACAAGAATAAAGTTGTAAGATTACGAGAATAAAGTCGTAATTTACGAGACTAAAGTCGTACAATTACGAGAATAAAGTTTTAAGATTATGAGAAAAAAGTCACAACGAGAATAGTCATAAAATTACAAGAATAAAGTCATAATATCAAGAGAATAAAGTCCTGAAATTATAAGAAAAAAGTTGTATTTTATGACAACTTCTACAAGAAGCACTTTCTTCACTAAAATGAGAAATGTGGAGCATTATGTGAAATAAGGAAATCTTTGAGCGAACCAGCATCAAATTGGGCACCATGTCCTGCAAGTGGACTCAGGTTGCTGTTTGGTGGAGCTGGTCGGAGCTCAAAGCTTTGTTTCCAAAATGGGTCTTTGTATGCTGATTTCATTCTCGTAATATAACAACTTTATTCATGTAATGTTACGACTTTATTCTCGTGATGTTATAACTTTATTCACGAAATAGAAGAAAAAAATCTCTAGCCTGGCCCTAATACTCTGTTGTAAAAACCTAAAAACAACAACCTGAATTTATGATAGAAATATGTAAAATAAGCATTGCATTGGAACGGACAGAAACGCCATGCATGCAACTCTTCAACCTTTTTTTAGTATATTTTTTTACCCCTTCCCATCAGTATATTGCTTTCCTTCTGTCACATAAAACACCAATTATATGCAATAAACTACATGCTTTTTACATGGCAGAATACAAAGCCTTTAAAGAACGTTTTTTGTTTTTTGATAATAAGGTTTAAGGAGTCATCTTACATAACACCCTCAAACGAACTCTAAGATGTCTTTATAAGACGAGTAGCTTCGCTATGACCTCCTGAAGGAGGGGACTTGATTTGCTAGACAAATATTCATGGAAAATCTGAAGGCTCTGGGCCTTGCCTAGCCAGACCAGCATGCATGGAGACGTACCATCAATGCAAATAAGCTTCCAACAGAAAACTGTGACACATGAGCATCCAGCAACTCCCCAAAACTCCCAAAAGAAAAAAAAAAAACAGTAGCACCTCCCTGCTCAGCATAAGCCAGTGCTGCAGACGAATGTGAACACTTATTTCTGATTGCTGATCGGCTGTTGGTAGATATGGAACTACATTCTTACTTGGTTAGCTAGTTGCAGCAAAGCAAATACTTTAAAAACTTTTTTTTTTCTGAGTGCTGGTCAGAGCAAACAGAGGTAAGAGCTGTTTTTAATGGATTCATTACTTTATTTTGGATATCTTAACATTGTTTAACATCTCTGTAAGGATTTTAATCTGTTAAAATGAGCTCAGTTTTATATTTGTAAATTTTACTTTTCACTGGATGAAGTTACACAAATAAAGGCAGCCTATGTTGAAGTTTTTTTTTAGAATTGTATTATATTTCCAGTATCTCTTTAAACCTCAAAGCTATTACTTTTATTTAAATAATATAGAGGTGGACATCTACTTCAAATATAATAGATGCACTCTGCAGGATTTTATTGAGAAATCTGCTATAGTGACTTAGTGGATAAGTTTATAGAACAACCTACTTTATCCCAGCAGTGTACATTTATTTAATTCAATTTAACTTGTGTTTTTTGTTTTTGTTTGTTTGTTTGTTTGATTTTTGTTTTTTTTTTGTAATAGAAGTACTGATGTTACACAAAAACTATAACCAGTAGCCTCAGTCCTGTTTCATAAATCAGCTGTGGAACAATGACCAATAGCAGGGACTGTCATCATCCAACAGTAAAATATTGTGGCTAAAGAATGAGCTATTTACAGGCTTCTTCATGTAGGGTTTTTTTTTTACAGCTGCCTCTGTGGGCAGGAGTTAGCAGTTCCCTGTACCAGAAGCAGTAAAAAAACACCGACTTGTTTACATTCATAGACAAGATGCAAAGTAATGCAAACGTGTTTGCCTAGGAAAATACGAGCCAAGCAGCTTCAGCAGAAAAATAAATGAGAGGGTTTATGAAATGAATAAAAAAAGTACAGTCTATAAAACTGGTAAATACAGACCAGGAAATATAGTAGAAGCTTAAATAAACCAGGATAATGGCATTGTTCTGAAGAGGATAACCGTTTGGGGTTATTCAGTTTGACTTACTAAGCCGTAATAGAGAATGCTGATTTGACCTTACCAGTGTAGCGCTAAATGGTTAAATCATGAGTTATAAAGTGAAATACCAGGTCACAAAAAGTCTTAGTCTTCTTTCCAACTTTTTTTTTTAATAATTCAAAATGCAACAGTAATATATTTATCTATCTATATATCTATGTATTTTTAAACAACATTAGCAAGCATATATATTTTTCCATTGATTTTAAATAGCAGCAGAAGAACGATTATTTCACATATTTAGGACTATTTTGACTCTACTGTTGTATAAACAAAAATATGTAAATATATGTATAATTGAATGTATGTATAAATAAGTTAAAACAATCCATTTTTTATGCCTCACCATACATATATGTATTACTAAGCATGTCAGTATTGGAGAATAAATACAACTTTCCTTTTGTTCTGTTGCTTGTTTGTTTTGGGGGAATTTTAAGGACATTTATATGCATATTATCCCTGGCAGGTTAAAGAGTAGAGAGAAATATATGATTTATTCACGTTAATACTTTTATGCATTTAGTTCAATGCCTTTACAAAAGGGCCAGCATTAACCTTTTTTTTTTTTATTTCGCATTAACTTGTTAGTTTGGTTTTACTGGCTCTTCTGGCTGTGGTTGTGAAGTAAAAGTATTATTTATTAGACCGGTTCAAGTCTGAATTTAACTTTAAATGGAAAGTTCCCACATGCATTAATGACTCAATACCCGTTACAGCCACCTACTATTACTAAAACTAAAGATCTTATTCAAAGTTATTTTTTTAAACGAATTATTATCATATTTAAGGTGAATTTGGTTGTTATATTTGTGATCCCCCACCAAATGAGTTTGACAGAACATATAGAGATCTCATTTAACAAATATTCTTCTATGTCGTCTGTATTATCCTACCAGAGGGACAATGTGGACCAAACAGTTTCTGTTCGTGGTGGTAATCCTGGGCATGTATCAGGTAGAGATATCCCTTCTCTACTTTAATATAACTGTACAGCCTGCATTATTTGCTCATAAGAAAATGTAAAGAACATATAAGAAAAACAAGATTTGATTCAATAAAATATTTGACGCTCTGAGACCCATTTTTGGCATTTCCTTGTTTTTGCCTTCGCAGGTTATTTCACAAGGTGAGATTGCTGACAGCACATTTTTCTGCTCTACTGTAACTCAGCACCTGTATCCTTTGGTTTAATCAATAACTGATTCCTTTCATCCACAGTCAGTCATTTTATTAAAGATGGCAAACTAAATCTTTGCTTTTGTTCTGTTTTTCCCTCTGAAATTGCCCCTGTGCTAAAGACATTTACGTCGCTGAAGTAATGGTGGAGAGCAACGTCACACTGAGCTCTGAAAACATCCTGGCAAGTTGGAGCAAAGACACAACTATTACAGCAAACACTGTGATAATCAGCAGCGAACTGGTTGCAGGTATTCTTTCTAAACAATACTTTCAGTCTTAAGTTGCTTTAGTATCACTAGTGTGGTCTCCAAACTTGCAGAACACAAAAATCAATTAAATAAAAAAGTATTTTTTATCTGTTTCTACCTGTTGGAAAGTTATTTAGGTATGCGATAGCTTAATGCAGGAATGGCAAAAAAAAACATCCTTAAGATGTGGAGACCTTTATGTTTCTGGCTCCAACACAGCTGAATAGAACCTTAATTATGTCATAAGTACGTTACCATGTTTTACAGAGGTTGTAAAGTGAACCATTCATTTGATTCAGCAGTGTTTAAACAAGGATACATCTCTTAATGACTGGAGTTGGTCAATCCTATTAATCCTTTTTATGAAAAAAAAAATGAATTTTCAGGAAAAGGTACCTAAGATTTTTGTGTTTTGGAGAGTTTGCTTTTTGATTCTGGGTGTGGAAGACATTTTAAAGTCCTTTATTACAAAAGAGAACGAGTTAAAGGTCACTCATCTTTTTTGACAAACAAGTGAAAAAAAAGGAATACCAAAAATAAATTTTTTTTATAAAAAGCCTGTGAATTAAATGGATTTGAAAGAATGTGTGAATGGAGTGGGGCTAAATATCTAAATTATTAAAACTAACTTACCAATCAGATTCTGTCCCCCTTCTATGGTTGGATGCCTCAGGATCTGGGTATCTCTAGAGCCAGCAGCTCCAACCTGTATGACTTAGGACTGGAATTGCAGACAATGGATACATAAAAATTTATTCAAGTTCTGCTAATTGCCTCATTTTGGGCACCCTTTTTACTACGTATTTTCTATAATGGGCAGAAGCATATGCTATCGGTCTGTGACAGTGTATGTCACTTCCGCAAAAGCGCAATTCATTTAGGGTAGTTAGCGCCATTTCTGTGGTGAAGAGACAGCAGCAACAAACAAAAGAAAACTAACAGAGAGTAGAGGTGTTCTAGTTGCTTCTTTGGAAATAATGGGACACTGGTGCTGCGTCAAAGGATGAAATAGTAATTCTAAACAGAAAACAGCAGATGGGGCCGTACGGTTTTTCGTATTCCCCACTTGGAAAAAAAATACGGACCGCAGACAGAGGACTTAACAAAGAGGCGTCGGGCTGCATGGGTCGCTGCTGTAAGAAGGAAAGACATCACGTTTCATAAAATATCTCCTCATGTTCGTGTTTGCTCTCGGCATTTTCACAAAGGTAAGTCCTTATAAATATACACTAATAGAAATCAACACGCTGAAATGGTTTGCTTATAAAGTTGCAGGAGTTCATGTAAACCTACTAAAACATGCTGTGGAAGAGAAGCGGAAAGTGATGTTTGTTTTATTTCTTTTTTAGACCGCTAAAATTTAATAAATAATGCATTCTCTGTATATAATCATTTACACAATCTGCAATACAAATATATTTTTTTATGAATAAATATATATAAATACAGTGTACATATAAAAACACTGTACATATAAAAACACTGTACATACCCACTCATCAGCCAACTCACTGCATTTATTCATCCTGTGCAATCTACTTAAGTTTATTTATTATAATCCTTTGTTCGTCCTGTAAGCTTTTCAGTTTATTTATTTACCTCTGGCCTTACTAGTCCGATGTACTTGTGCTGTTTTGGTATAGCAAATTTCCCCACTGTGGGAAACATAAGCATATCTTATTTTATAACTCATCTAATCTAATGGGCTCTGTTATTTAGGTGCTTTATATAGTGTTTTGAATAGATGTGTAAAACACTCAACCTTTCATCTACTTTGCAGGTCAACCCGCATATGAGATGATGGAGACTGACCCAGACTGGGCTCCATCCCTGCATCTGGGCCACACTGACATCAGACCAACAGACACAGACCGCTCTTTAAGACGTGGTTATCGGGAACAGCTGAAAAAGAATGCCCTGCAAGCAACTGAAACGGGGCTCCATCAGGCTGATGAAAGGACAGGAAGGACAGACAGAATGTAACCTGTGTGTGCTCAGGTGTGCAGAGATGAACCGTCTTTTGGAAGAAAACAGAGAGCTGCGGCGTGAACTTGATGAGCTACAGATCTCTGATTGCTTCTTTGGAGACAGTAATGAAAAAGTCAAGTACTATACGGGTCTACCAAACTTGGCAACCTTTATGGCTTTGTTGTTTTATGGCCTCTCATGTCTGCTCAAAATAAAATTCTCAGTCCATTTCAAATGCTTCTGTTAACCTTCATGCGTCTGATATTGGATCTGCCCTCACAACACCTTGCTTATCTCTTCTGTGTTTCACCAAAGACAGTGTACAGAACATTCAATGAAATGCTGTAATTTTTATATGCAAATCTATTGTGCAATTGTGTGGCCAGATAGAGACACCTTGCACAAAATTATGCCTCATCAGTTTGTGGAGGCCTTTGGACATACTGTAGAGTCACAGTGATTAGTGACTGTTTTGAAATTTTCACAGAGAAACCAGCTAATAAATGAATGCAAGATCAAGTACTGTTTCAACTTTATTCTTCTTTTTTTATTCTTCTTTTCACACAAATAGAATTTTGCTTTTTTTAAAGTTACTTTTGAAAAATAACAGCAAAACAAATATAAGTTTCACCATCACTTCAAATATTAACAATGTTTCTGAGGTTGTAAAAATGTGTGTACAATAAAGAGTGGATTTGAAATTTGAAACAAGTGTTGTTATTATCTTTTCAATCAAGCAGAGAATTTATGAAAATGCAATACAAAATCTCAAATACATAAATAATGCAGAACAGTGCAGGGCTTCAAATGTTTTACTTTGTCTTCCTCCCTCGTATATAGCCGATTGCTCTTTAGATTAAATTAGAAGATTTTCATTTTCCCAGGACTTGTTTTCACTGTGGTCTGTGGTCTTCTGTAGAGATATTACCTAACGGGTGATATCTGTGAAGAAGACTGCAGATCCCAGTGAAAACAGGCCTGGATAAAGTGAACAGCAAATACAGTGTGCAACTTATCAATGTGCAAAAATTATGACAAGTTTTTTCGTTCAGCCTGATGAGCAGCACAAACTGCTCTAATAACTGCAGCTATCTGTGCAACTGCCCACAACATCTGCCTTGTCACTATAATAATAATATATAATATCGTTCCCTAGCAGCTTTAGAAAGTTTGTCTGGGTAGGGTATCCGTTCAGTTTTCTTGTTCTTTTCCATTTAACTGATAATCCTCACTGCTGGCAGCGCTCTCCTCTTGTTTTCTGCTGTTTTGTTTTTCTTCCGCTCACCACAAAAATGGCGCTAGGGGGCGTGTCAGTCACGTGTCTGACAAAGACCGATTGCAAATATGCTAATACTTTTTACAGACATTCTCTGAAAATGCAAACATTCAGTGTAGCAGAACATTAGCAAGGAATGACTATCTATACTGCATTGGCATTTACTAAAAAAACAAAAGCTACCTCATAATATAATGCAGACACTATTATGTTTCAAAGGGAAGGTGATCAGCATTACCTTTTAAACTCATAGTGTTTTTTTGTAGACCAAAAAGCCTGGTTTTCCCAGCTTTGTTTTCAGCCAACTTTTATGCACTACATTCTGTTGGTGTATAACATTAAAAATTGGCTAAGGTTTGTATAGTGTTACTAAAGATTAAAAAATTCAAACCCCTAGTTATTTTTATTGATGGCAGATTTAGGCCAAAACTAATTAAATTTTCGGTTGAAATCAAAAGCCATGTTGGATTGCATTTTTCACTAAGATATCAATGGTAGCAATACAGGATTTGAGAAATAAAGCAAACATTTTTAGATTGGTGTCACATTGTTCGTCAGCTGAAATTTAAATACCATGGTTTTGTTTTCTGTATTTCTGTCACCTCCTAGAATGCCTAGTCATTGGGGAGGACTACAGCTGTAACTGCTCTACAGGCTATGCTTGGAGTAACGAGGTCTGCTACAGCTATGGTTGCTGCAACGAAAGTACATGTAAACAAAATGTGTCTCAGGCAACATCCATATGTGTGCCCAAGACTAATGGTAATAAAGTATTTTCTTATACTAATGAGCACATCTATATTCATTTCTAAAATAAAAATCTGTTATTTAAAGGAGGAAAAAAAAACACTAAAATACCGTACAATGTATAATTTAACATGTTCTAATTGTTATATAAGAATAAACTAATGGCAATGTTTGTAATTATCACAGTTCTCATCATCGTATCGGCACCCACTAGTATCACAGTCACAGATGTATGTCTCTCTCTTCTAAAAATAAAGCTGATATATCCGTTCCAATATTAGCTCATGTAATAATGAAATTCTTTCTTTTCAAAGATTAAGAAGAAACTGACGGAGATGAATGCCGTGAATGGTTCAATCGATAACAGGTAATGTACTTCCTGATTTTATCATTAAAGTTCATTAATTGTATAATCTATTGGCAAAACAGATGGTTGGCTGTAAAATTACACCCTTGGCATCAGATTTATCAGATTTAAGAGAGACAGACAGGCTTACAGTGGTGAGGATAAATGCACAGCTAGAGGTCATGGTTCAGAAACCTTCAAATTGGAGGGTTGTGTTTATGCAGCAGTTTTCCAGTTACAGCATATGCCCAATACACATAGCATAGAAAGTGGAGTCTATGTGTCACTAGGTTCAGTTTTCAGATAGCATGGAATGAAAATCTCTTGCAGTTAATGAAACATAACCAAACCTGGCCTAAGGACCAGGTTGTCTAACACTCAAAACAACCCAGATTTTTGAAACTGACACTGAATTATAGAACTACGGAGCCCCTCTGATGACATGGTCAAAAAAAATGTTTAATTGAGGCCACGCAATAAGTTTAACGTGCGCACGAAATACTTATTAATAATATCAATAAATCCGCCCCTGTTTTCAGGCTTATGTTAACTGTAATGACTTATCTTGGACAGGCTGCTATGTAAACGGGCCTTTAGTCCTTCATTTAGCTATGCTGCGGTTGTTTACACTACGCCTTTTCCACCTAAAATGGCGTCTTAGCAACAAATGTCACGTGACTGGCGGAGACCGACTGGGTAAGCAAATCGAGCACGCCTTAGACCTTAGAGAAGGCGCGCTCGATTTGCTTACCCAGTTGTCCAGGAATTATATTAATATTATTAATAAGTATTTCGTTCGCACGTTAAACTTATTGCGTGGCCACTAAGTAGTATTTCGTGCGCACGTTATACTTATTGCATGGCCACGAAATACTACTTCGTGCGCACGAAATACTACTTCTTGGCGACAATTAAAAATTTTTTCCATGTCATCAGAGGCTCCGTATAGAACTGAAAGTAAAAATACACAAACTGCACATTTTCAAAGCAAACAAATAAATAAAAAAATAAACAAAATCAGTTAAATTTAGTGAAATTTATTTTCAAGCTTATGCCTTTAATTGGAAATTAAGTCAATATAGATTCATGTAGGGTTTGACAAATTCAGTTTCTAATGGCAAAATTTTCTACCCATACTTCACAGCATTATTATATATATTACTTTTATTTTTCCTAAAAACATTCCTGTTTATTAACTGTTTTTTTTTATTCTGTTCCTTAAATTATCTAGCGTCCATCCCACAATTCCTGATTATAATGAATTTAAGGTGAAAGTCAATGTTGACGTGAACTCATCCAAGCTTCAAGACCTTCTGGAAAGTTTATCATCATCAATATTAGTTTCTACACAAGGTCAGTACATCTTTTGATACATTTTTTTTCATGTTTTTAAAACCTTGATTTTAAAAGAATTTCTGTATAGTGGCTAACTATGGTTTTACTCGGAATTACTCTAATTTTTCAACCAAATCCCTCAAAACATCCCACAGAGTTTGGAGAATGGTTTCATTTATTGTATTACAAGAAATGTTTTTAGGTGCTTGGACCCTGATTTCCAGCAAAATTGTTGATCTTTGGAGGCTATTTTGGTAGGAAAAATCAAAATAGATAATAAAAAAAAAAATGGGCTTAAGAAAAGTAAATAAGCATAAATACGGCTCTCAGTGATGCTCATGTTCATGTTAACATCTTGATCACTTCATGTTAAATGATATAGCTTGCATTGCTTGGATAAATTGTGATGTTTAAGAACATTATATCCATTTACAGCTGATTCTACCTGTTAATTGTGGTTTTTTTTTTTCTCAAAAAGACTAAATGAAATCAGTGCTTTTCAATCAATCGCTGATATTTTTGTCTTTCAGCATGGCTCAGGTTAAGCAGAAATAGCTGAAATATGTTTTCTCTATATTGAAATGCTTTAATTTAGCAATTGCTCTGTCTATAATTCCTTTCATAGGAATGGTAAACATTAAAGGACCTTCAGCTACAGTGAAATATGAGTCAGATCAAACTTTCAGTTGCACTTTTGAGTACGACTCGGACAGTGCTAGCTGGAACCAAACAAAAGGGACTCAGAACCTTGGCGTCAGAGAAGGACTTCTAACAGAAATAAAGAACTGTCCCCCCACAGTGGATTACAAGTCCTGTTCTGAAATGACTCTAAAAAAAGTGACGGGTGCATGGGAAGGTATGTTTTTTTGTTGTTTTATTTTACCTCACAAGATAACTTTAAACCTTCTTTTTGTCCATGGACCCATTCCTTATATATATGTGTATTTTTTTGGTCCTGATATGATGCCGGAAAGCTGGCTGTGCGGTATTGCATTATTCTACTTGGATGTAAAAAATTGCCATCATGGCTTTGTCAAGCTGCTGCCTACCTTTTTGAAGCAAGAAAAAGACGAATACAAAGTGAATCCAGTAGAAATTTTTATTGCCTACTGTATCTGAAAATGGGTAACAGTAGTTGAATAAACTTTTGGCCCTATTTGTTGGTACTCGCCGATACCGATACCACCATTTTAGTGCTGGATCGAGGCCCCGCCTGATACTGGTATTGGTATTTATTGTGATGACCCCTCCTCCCACCTGCAGCTATAATAACTTCAACTCTTCCAACATGACTTTGTACAAGATTTCAGAGAGTTTTGAAGACATTTCTCACCATTCTTCCTCCCTCATTAAGAATCTGATGGATAACGTGATAATATATTAAGTAATGATATAACACGGGTATCTCCTGCAGAGCCTTTTTTTTTACCTTCCATGTGCTGAATATCTCTTCCTTTCCTCTATGTTTCAAAACATTTTCTGGCAATTTTCACACCCTCCATATGGCATGCATCTGTTTTAAGCAATTTCCTGTTTTTAAATCATTTACTCCAGTGGATAAGATCAAACGGGCATGTTTTACCTTATCCATGTGAGTAAAGTACTAACATTATGCTGGAAAAATGTGAAATCTAGATAAGTCATTTTTTCTTAAAATAAGTGTATTTGTTCTTGAATTGAGGAGGTAAAAGAGACATATTGCCAATAGAACAAGACAATTTACACTTAAAATAAAAAACAAAACAATTGCATTGCCTTATTTCAAGTGCATATTATCTAATTATCTTATTCTAAGATCAAAAATACTTAATCCATTGGCAGATCATTTTATTTACCTACTTAAATTAAGGGTAAACACCCTTAATTAAGGGTACACAGTACACCCTTAATTTAATTTCTTCTTATTTCTAGATTGTTTTTGCAGTGTACATTTAAATATGAGACTGAAAAAGTATAGTTTATTTCAATTATCATTGACTTATAGTTTTTATTTAAATTTTTTAATTACAATTAATTTTATCAGAATTTTGCTTTAGACATATCTACAGTAAGCACATTTCTTTGGGAGTTCAAAAGAACAGAGTTAGAATTTTCCTTTGTGTCCCAACAGGTACATATATGTGTATATTTACCATTGGGAAAATCAGACATACTGCCAGCACTGCCCTGGATGTGGCTCTTCTGCCGGATGAAATCACCATGACATACAGTCCACTCATTGCAGACTGCTCAGAAAAACCAGAGACTCCTGCAAAAGTCACTGTAACAGCAATGATTCCAGAAACCAAAGAAACATATAAGTTGACATGGGAGGAAAATGGAGAACAAAAATCTGTAGAAAATGGTAGAACAAACATTTTTTTTGACTTTCTTAACAAAAAACAACTGAATTATGGGCTTAAAATCACATAACATGCTAATCTATCTTTACTTTACAGTTTCTAGCAAATCCGAATTCAAACACACCGCTTATATCGATTGTAGGAAGGACAATACAATCCATGTTGTGAATGTCACCTTTAAAAACTCAGAGCATCAAATCAAACATAAACACGTTAACATCTCAATATTGCAAGGTAAGGAATACGGTTTTCCATATTTCATTTGTTTGAAAATGTTGCCTTATAGTAATATAACATTTAGAACTGTGTAGCTTTAAAATATTTCCTTTCCAGATATTTGTTTTTAAATATTCCTCCTATTTTCACATCTTCTTAATTGTTTTTCCTCCAGGCCAAAAATCATGTGACTTGGAAACTGAAGATGGAGTGGATTGGCCTAAAACTCCCCTTGAAACAACAGTGGAAAATCCAGAATGTCCTGCAGGCCGGATTGGATTTAGGAGCCGTACCTGTAATAAAAATGCAGTGTGGGAGGATGTTATATCCAAGTGTATCAGTGAGGAACTTGGAAAAGTTGCAAATGCAGCTGAAGTGAGTTCGGCTATAATGTTGCAGGACACAATTTAATGAAAGAGATTTTTCAGATGCTTTGCATGGATTTATGCTGTGTTAGCTGACGCATATAACAATTAAAATCCAATTATTTCCCGCTGTTGAGCACTACTGAGAATTATTTATAAAACAAGGGTACTTCATCTTAATGTTGGAGGATGTGTTTTGTTTTTGTTTTTTCATGCAGTTGCACTTTTTGCACATCTTTTGCTTCTTTATTACTATTTTTTTGTGCAGAACTTTCGGAATGGACTCGGAGCTACTCCAGAGGTGGCTAAATCCATATTTGAAGGGATTAAGAACACCTCTTCTTCAGCTAGCTCTGGTAGTTCTGTTGATGATTTAGCTGACATTGGTGCTTCCATCAACATCTTTGGGGTTATGAAAGATGCATCGAAAAACATTGAACTGGGAGAAGAAATGTTGAATGTAAGTAGATTTAGTTTTTGTGTTCCAATACACAATTTGGAACTTTTGAAACCCATGTATTTGGAAGTTAAAGGTCATCAGGCTTTGTTCGTTGATTAATACAATTAAATACTGTGGAACGAATTTAATCATTGTTGAAAGCATTCAAGCATTATATCTGATATGTCTAAAATAGATGCAAACTGCATCACGATCACGACCACTGCAAAAACAATCTAGAAATAAGTCAACACTTCTTAAATAAGTGTATTTACCCTCATTTTGAGCAGGTAAATAAGATGATCTGCCAATGAAATCAGTGTTTTTACTCTTAAAATAAGATAATTAGATAATATGCACTTGAAATGAGACAATGTTATTGTTTTTTTATTATTTTAAATGTAAACTGTCTTGTTCAATTGGCAAAGTTTCTCACTTTCCTACCCAATTCAAGAAAAAATACACTTATTTTAAGAAAAAAAAAATGACTTAGTTAGATTTACATTTATGACAGTGTGATAAAATCATCTTAGATATGTAAAGACTGTAGAGATATCTTTCTGTCATATCTAATTGTCACTGAATTAAAGCACAGTTAGTTTTTATGCTATAGTAAAACATAATAAATATAACTCAACATGTGATCATACTCTTTCTTTTGTTGTTTTTCTTCGAACTACTTTCCAGGACGTAGTTGAAGCAGCAAGCAATATGGTGAATGCTTCCTGGGATAGCCTACCTGAAGAAAATATTCTTGAGATGTCCTCTCAGTACCTAACTAATGTGGAGGGTTTGGTCAAGGAAATCAAGGTCAACAACAGTGAGGGATTAAACAGTTCAAACCTGGAGCTCAGATTCTGCTCAAATGATGACTGCAGCATATCTATTTTTGGCGTTGGTGTGAATATGAACAAGACCAATGGAACAGTGAAGACCATGGCGGTGAAGAATCTGATGAATAAATTGAAAAGCAAAAAATTACACGGGAAAAACCACAGCAGCCTTGTGCTTTCAGCCACGCTTGTGGACAGCAATGATTCAGATATAAATATCCAAATATTCTTTCCTGATGAGCAACCATCTGCCACAGAACGGATATGTGTTTTCTGGGACAATGATGCGAAAGACTGGTCGAGTGAAGGCTGTGTTGCAAACATCACAGATGACAACCAAACACTTTGTATATGCAACCATCTCACTGCCTTCTCTGTCCTCATGGCCAAGAGCGCCAACGTGTCCTCTGAAAGTCTTGAAATGATCACATATATCGGCCTAGGTGTATCCATTTTTTCCCTGCTGATCTTCCTTTTTGTTGAGTCCCTGGTTTGGTCGGCCGTGACAAAGTCAAACCTGTCGCATTTCCGTCACACAGCAGTGGTCAATATTGCCGTCTTTCGCTTGCTTGCTGATTGCAGCTTCTTGGCTTCCATTGAGCCCGACAGCCTCTCTGAAGACATGTGCTTGGGTTTAACTGTCTGCAAACACCTGTTTTATCTAGCCATGTTCTGCTGGATGCTGTGTCTGAGTGTCATGCTGGTCCACCAGCTCATCTTTGTTTTCAGTCCGGTCAGGAAAAGAGTCTTCATGTACCTCTCCAGCATTGTAGGCTATGTTCTTCCAATGGCACTTGTGGGATCAAGCTATGTGTATTACAGATACACTGAGCAGGAATACTTTGATAAAAAGAGCTGTTGGCTAAGGTATGATCGACTGTTGGAAGGCTCCATTCATGCATTTCTTCTTCCTGTAGGCACCATTGTTTTGTCAAATCTCTTCTCCATGGTGGTTGTCATTGTCACCTTGGTGAAGACTTCAGTTCCAGACAGCAGCAAAGCAGATGACAAGGACACAGCCAAGAGCATTCTTAAAGTGGTGGTCTTTCTAACTCCTGTCTTTGGGGTCACATGGATTTTTGGCTTTGTTTTCCTCATCCTGGAATATGACAGCCCCCTGCATACGCCTGTAAACTACATTTTCACCATCCTCAATTCTTTCCAGGTAATTTAGTCATAATTATCACATTAAGCTGCTGAGATCATAATGAGTTGGACTGTCAAAACGCCGCTGATCTGAGCTTATTCTCTATAGAGATACGAAAGTGATGGGTAATGGCCGTTTACTGCATGTGTATTTATTACAGATTTATGATGTGAAAGGGGCTTCTAGGTCATAAGGATACCACCCGAAACCTAAAACCCAAATTGATTCCCAAAGACTAGCAATGCCAATTCAAAAGGAAATTTAAAGTCAACAGTAGTCATACACCAATTAAGATATGAACTATCTTTATTATCAATGAGGAGCATTTATTCCTTAAGTGCATATAAATGTACTCTGGTCTGGATTCCTAAAAAGTTTATATTTTGTCGATTAAATAAAAATACTCCATAACCAGAACTTGCAGCCAGTCCTTGCTATCTAAAACCATTTAAGACATACACTATATTGCCAAAAGTATTTGCTCACCTGCCTTGACTCACATATGAGCTTAAGTGACATCCCGTTCCTAATCCATAGGGTTCAATATGACGTCGGTCCACCCTTTGCAGCTAGAACAGCTTCAACTCTTCTGGGAAGGCTGTCCACAAGGTTTAGGAGTGTGTTTATGGGAATTTTTGACCATTCTTCCAGAAGCGCATTTGTGAGGTCGCACACTGATGTTGGACGAGAAGGCCTGGCTCTCAGTCTCCGCTCTAATTCATCCCAAAGGTGTTCTATCGGGTTGAGGTCAGGACTCTGTGCAGGCCAGTCAAGTTCATCCACACCAGACTCTGTCATCCATGTCTTTATGGACCTTGCTTTGTGCACTGGTGCACAGTCATGTTGGAAGAGGAAGGGGCCAGCTCCAAACTGTTCCCACAAAGTTGGGAGCATGGAATTGTCCAAAATGTCTTGGTATGCTGAAGCATTCAGAGTTCCTTTCACTGGAACTAAGGGGCCAAGCCCAGCTCCTGAAAAACAACCTCACACCATAATCCCCCCTCCACCAAACTTTACACTTGGCACAATGCAGTCAGACAAGTACCGTTCTCCTGGCAACCGCCAAACCCAGACCCGTCCATCAGATTGCCAGATGGAGAAGCGCGATTCGTCACTCCAGAGAACGCGTCTCCACTGCTCTAGAGTCCAGTGGCGGCGTGCTTTACACCACCGCATCCGACGCTTTGCATTGCACTTGGTGATGTATGGCTTGGATGCAGCTGCTCGACCATGGAAACCCATTCCATGAAGCTCTCTGCGCACTGTTCTTGAGCTAATCTGAAGGCCACATGAAGTTTGGAGGTCTGTAGTGATTGACTCTGCAGAAAGTTGGCGACCTCTTCGCACTATGCGCGTCAGCATCCGCTGACCCCGCTCCGTCAGTTTACGTGGCCTACCACTTCGTGGCTGAGTTGCTGTCGTTCCCAAACACTTCCATTTTCTTATAATACAGCTGACAGTTGACTGTGGAATATTTAGGAGCGAGGAAATTTCACGACTGGATTTGTTGCACAGGTGGCATCCTATCACAGTTCCACGCTGGAATTCACTGAGCTCCTGAGAGCGACCCATTCTTTCACAAATGTTTGTAAAAACAGTCTGCATGCCTAGGTGCTTGAATTTATACACCTGTGGCCATGGAAGTGATTGGAACACCTGATTCCAATAATTTGGATGGGTGAGCAAATACTTTTGGCAATATAGTGTATCTTGAAATATTAGCTCATCTCTAACAAAGGACTGTTTTAGTAAATCTATAAAATGGCAGCCATGTTGGTGCTACCTGATGGTAAATAAATAAAACCAGCAAACATTGAGCTACTGAAATTATTTAGAGCCCAATTCCAACATCTTGAAAAAAGCTTTTGCATGAACTCAATATTCAGTGGCTCTCATAAATGCAAACTTCCCTGATGAGAATTCAGGTGTTTCAGTAAGTTGGATAAAAAGGACCTTGATTAATAATTCTTAAATATTTTGCATCCCAGCTGAAATAAAAGGCTTTGCATCCTTAAACCACTACATCCTTTGTTGTTATTATTTTCTTTATTTTATCATATATATAATTTTAGGCTTTATTAATAGCCATCGAAGATAAAAACAACCTTAAAATGATTTTTATCAGTCAGTAGAAAGATGAGCTGCAAGGCAACATGTAGCAACACCGAAAGTGATGCAACCGTGGGACATTAATCTGCTGTAATTTCCACATGTCTCGACTGACAAGTAAAGTTATTGAACAGATTTTATTGCAATTACACCATGTCAGCCTTTTTAAAATCTACATAAACCTTATGATAAAATCTGTTTGGGTCTAGCAGGAACCAAAGTAGAACCACAAATTCAAAGGCGTAATATGGCACCAAATTGCTCTATACACATCCAAAAAAAGGTAGATGAGATCATAAACAAAGTTTTGTTGTCAGCATAGGCCCAAAATCTTCTGTTCTAGATAGCTGAAGGATTTCCTCTTTTGATTTACATCTGAATTTACAATAAAATATCCAAAACTGACGTTTTGAAATGCCTGACCAAAATATAATAGGAATTCTGTAGACTCACACACAGAGGGCTGTCAGTCAGATGTCTTCATAACCTGGTAGTTTTGGAGAACTTTTGCAAGTTAGATGGGACAAAGATTATAAAGTCAAGATGAGACGTGATGAAAGCCCCTACCATTAAAGGGAAAGGCTTCGTTTTAAAAGGTTATTAAACTGTGTCACAGATAAAGAATGTGCACCTGGAGTCAACAAGGTTGTTGAACCTTTTTCAAATTGGTTTTTAGACAATATAAAAAACATTGAAGCTGGGTTTTAGAGTATCCGTAACAAAGCAGTGATTAAACCAACAAAATTTAGACCCTGGTTCTAGACGGAAAGTTTTGACATTTTAGGAAGGAAAATAAGGGAGAGAGCTAATTCTGTGATTACAAAAGGTCTATTAAGAGTGGAACATGTCATCATTGTCTGAAAATGGATGTCCATCAGTGGTCCCTAAGCTTAAATCTGTGACTAACACTAGATTGCCTTGGTGGAAAGCAACAATACTATAATAGGTCTTTTTTATTGCTTGTAATTTAAAGCCTCATGAACCTTTGTTTTCTCATGCAGGGCCTTTTCATTCTGCTAACAGGTCTGGCTGAGCAGAAGGTATGCTTGTCTTTTTAACACATACTACATACTACTACTGTATTTTGTGCATTTAGAGAATCCTTATAAAGCGTTAGAGGAGACAACAAATAAATTGTATGAAATAAAGTTTTACCATGTGGCCAGTATGGAAAGAGGTTGATTTAGTGTTTTTTTTTTTATCTCCAGGTCAGGCAGGAACTTGTTAAGATTGTAATGGTAAGTCCTTTAGCTTAGACACTGAACCATAAAATGAAAGAAACTCCCAGAAAAATAAATTTTGCTTTTGCATCCTTTTTTAGGCAAAAACTGGGCGGGACACTGATAGCATCAAGAAATTTACCAATAGTTCAGCTACAACCTACACAAAAGACAAGTGATGAAGGTAAGATTTCCAGGGACATACATGTTCTGCTGTTGACTAAGACATGAAAAGTGATGTTGCTAAATGTAAATGTTAAGGGAAAATGTTCCTTTACAGAAGAATTGGTGACAATGGGTCCAAAAGAGAGTAAATTAGGAAATCCCCTTCTTAGCTAGCTGTCATGGGTTCATTATGGAGACAAAACAACAATTTCCTTGTACTGTCTGTACAGGTTTCCGGGGATATCGCTTTGATCTTGGACTAAATTAAGCTGCTTAGACTAGCTTACCCCACATTATGGACCCAACACAGCTTTACAGAATTTATTTTCACCATATCACCATATTGTAGGGACTCTGGGTCTGTTATTCACCAATCAGAACCTCATTTGTCCCAGGGGGGAGTATTGGCGAGGGGGTTGGGTCACAATACAATATCATCACAATATTGTAATATCAAGATATATTGTGGTATACTACCCATCTAATATCAAAATGAAATGTAGATATAAAAAAAAGCAATTGCAGTATATTCATTATAAGATACTGATCATTCAGTTATTTTGGTAGCCATGTTGTTTGGGCTTTGTGGCGGTAAAGTAGTGCATTACCCCACCATTGATTTAAGGAAAAAATTCATTTTTTAAATCGATATTAGAAGCTAAATGATCGATATTATATTGGGATCCAAAAATCATGATATATCGTAAAATCGATTTTTTTTTCCCCCATACCCATAATTTTGTCCTTTTATATCTATGATGAAAATATTAATATTATATTCTCATTGGGAATGACTTCGTTCAACCACATCAGTTGTTTTTTCTTCCTTTAAAAAATGTGTAACGCTCAATGTTTATTGTCCTTGTTATTTTGACTCCTAATCAAAGCAAAATAATTCCAAATGACATCTTCCTAGTAGATATTATTATCACAATGGAAATGGATAATTAAATTTCAAAATATCAAACTTCTAGTATGTCATAGGTTTATGCACAAACTAGATGAGTTTTTTTTTGTCTGTGTCATAAACAGCTATTTACCAGAGAACTTGATTTGCATTATCCAGTTCTATAAGAGGGACCATATTATAGTCTCTGTGGAACATGGGTGTTCTTTGGTTAAGGAAATACTGTGGCTATAATTGCAAAAGCGATGCAAACTACTATTGCTAACTTGCTTGTCTGGTTTGTGTCGGATCTACTGCATGCAGAAGAAGGAACAGTGGCTGAACGTCCATCAGTTGGTCAATGATTCAACTGCAGACAGTGGGCAACGTTTATTTAGCTTACTCCAATAACTGGACCTAAAGAGTCACACTGGGTCACCATTTCTTCTGCGATCAGTTATGAATGTCCTATTAACTTCCATTGGGATGCAGTGTGCTGGGCTCCTACTTTTGCTAATTATCAAAGACTTAACTTATAATAGAACTTCTGTAACACATATTCAATTTGAAAGCCTTTTTAGGGAAAATAACACTAGTTTAATTCAACAAAATAATCTTGGACTTAATATTTTGAGTTATCAAGTAGGAATTACTTGACCATGTCATGTTTTACATAAATTTAAAACATAATTATGCAACCTGTACCAACCAAAGAGCCTTAATGTGAAATTGCCTTTGTAACATTAAAACTTATGATTAACTACAAACATCTACAATAGGTAAAACCTGAATTTTATTTTAATTTTAAGGCTTAAAAATAATGGGAAAACTAAACTTCATCTCTGACATGGGAGTTGGTTCGGAGCTCATCTGCCTGGCTGTGTGTTTCCTGGATGGGCCCGCCACTTACAACTGCTTTTTGTATCTCTGCTTCTGTCTCCTTGAACCCCAGTCGGCCTCGGCAGATGGCCGCTCACACTGAGCCTGGTTCTGCTGGAGGTTTCTTCCTGTTAAAAGGGAGTTTTTCCTCTCCACTGTTGCTACAAGCATGCTTAGTGTGAGGGATTGTATTTGAGTCAATGAGTCAATGCAATCAACTGGTTTTCCTTAGATAGAAAACTTTGAATCAATCTGACTGTACGATCTGGTGAACTGTAAAGTGCCTTGAGATGACATGTGTTGTGAATTGGCGCTATAGAAATAAACTGAATTGAATTCAACTTTTGCAAAAAGAGGATGAATAAATTAATTTCTGTAAGATGTTGATTAGTTTGGACAGTTATATGAACAAAAAAAAATGTTCTTAACCTAATGAGAAGATTATAGAAAATAGATTGCTACTTTTACTGACTGTAGTTCTGGAAATTCACTGCAACGCCATAAAGGAAGAAAAAAAAACAGTGGAGCCACAATTTTCTGACCCCTGCCTTAGAATCACATAGCGGTCCGTATTCGTACCATATCCTTGAGAACAAAGGCATTACGCACTTATCATTTAATTAAAGAACTCAGTTAATGATTCCCATTGTGTTGCAACAAAATGAAACCTTTGAGCTTTTAAAGGTTACAGTAACTCTTCAGTATTCCCACTAAATGCTTTAATCTGTGTGTTACAGACTGTGGAGGCAGAGAGAGCAGCGCTGATGTCTGAAGCTTCCCTGGCATCCCAGGAGGCAAGAAGTTTGCATTCTGCTTTTGGTCCTCGGACTGATACATATGTGTAGCTGATTGATCTAACAAAAACATTAAATATAATCGAAAGCTTATCAAGTAGAAGACTGATATTTGAGTAGCAGTGAGGTGATTGAATTTACAAAAATATATGGTAGACATACATTCTATTTTTGTCATTGTCAGACATAAATCACCAACATTGTCGAGGGTAGGGCAGATATATATATAGATTTTCCTTATTATATTTTTTGAAAAATAAAGCAAATAGCAAAACATGATTATTTAGCTGTAAGTAGAGGATTTAAAATACAAACAGCAACTAAGCAGATTTACTTTCTGTTCCAAGCCACTGTATATAGAACAATTAATCATTTATCAAATCATTTCTGTTTGTGGTCCTTTAATGATAAAAATGTTAACTCACATAGTTTGAGAAGAGGTGTAAGCTGTATACAATGCTTGTATATGTCTGTATTTATTAGACATTGTAGTGAAATAAAGATTAATTTAGAAATGAAAGCTCTGTCATACACTTTTATTGTGTTTAAATTGTGGCATGCAGTTATTTTACAATAGAATTGGAAGAAAAAAAACAAAGTGTATTTCTTTTATCTTTTGAATAAGGAAGGAAAACTTGTAAATCCTCTAAAATGGGTTGGTGTGAGGTCTTCCAATGGACAGCATTAGAAATACTGCTTCTGCTACACCACATTAGAGATAGGAGGATAAATCACAGCGGAGTAGATGGTGAACACCTGAAAAAGAGATAAGGCATCTGAGTTTTTGTTCATCTTTGTTCCCCTTCTGGTTTCCCTCCTTGAAATGCAGAGACCAAATAAGTGCACTCTATGGAAATTAGAGTACAGCCTTGTGTAACACGGTTGGCAAGAGCAACAAACAAATAGTTGTGGCACAGAGAAACAAAAAGGCGCTGTTTCTATGACGCAGTAAAATAATCATGTAGACAAAAAAGGTATAGACAGAATAACATTTCTTTTATCCAATTAAGGTGGCTTATATAACGCTGGTTCTTAAAAGCCAGTGTTGCCTTTTAGATCCAGTCTTGCTCTGACCCTCAGGTCATGGTGAGCTGAAAGCCAAGTATATCATATTTGATACATGAGCTGTTGAGACCTCCACATCATGAGTTAAATATTTTTTGTTCTCGAAAACCCTCATTCACACAATCAGACATATGTAGTGAACAAAAAAACGCCCAAAGATATGCCCAATGTTTTAAAATTAATGTAAGCCTCATTTGTCAGGAAGTTCAATGACAACTCTAAAACAATTATTTAATGGTCTAGGCTTTAAAGGGTTAAGCAGGGATACTGCTTAAAGCTGCAGGAGAGTAGCTCTGGAGGACCTTGGCTGGAGATCACTGACATACTGGATATGGGACCACTGGTGCATCATGTGTTTTCTGTTTTGTTCAAAAGTTGTGTAGTTAATAAGTTTGGTTAATGGTTATAATGTTAATGTCTCTCAGCGAGAGATAAAGAGAGAGAGGGAGACAGCGATGTTTTTATGATCTAAATTTGACTGCAGGATTCTGCTTTTGCATTTCTTCTGATACATCTCTGTAGTTTATATATTTGTACTGGCCTTTTTTACTTTCTGTTTTATTTTAGGATCTGTCTACCACTGTGTGCTGTCAGCTTTTTACTTCCTGTAACCCTGCTGTATCTGTTTCTGAGGTTGTTTTGCCATTTTTTGCCAACTCCAGCTGATATTTAATCAAAACCTATAAAATTAGATTTTAGTTTTTGTATCGTATAGCATTGTTCATTCTCATTTCCCTTCAGATCGCGGCTTCTTCAACAACTTTGGCTCCTTAAAGATGATTCGTTTCATTGTATTCATTGCAGTTAACAAAAACAATCATTAACAAAAGCCAACAGCCTCCATTGAGCCAATATCAGCCTGACCTTTCAAGCTTCAGTTTCCAGGTTCTCTCGTGGGGTCGAGAGGGAAAGTTCTTGTATTTCTTTGTAGGGGTTGAGATCAGACCAATTCACAGGGTATCTTCAATTATTGCCAATTTTCCCTGATCCTCTGAGTCAATTCTTAATGGTCTGTCCACAAGTAAAAAGTAAGGACGGTGGACTTGCTGTCTGTCTACTCTCACAATCAAAATGTCTTTATTCTCATTATTAAAACATATTTGATATAATGCCACTATGGCCTAAATGGCATACTAACCAAATTCTAATATTTAAGTTCCTGCATCCTCATAATTATCCTCTGGTGCTTCATCAAATACTCAGGTCACCCAACCAGGACTCCTTGTAAGATCTGGATCTCTTCAGGTCTTCCACCTGAAAGCATCTTGTTTGATCTCTGAATCACAGGGTTCTAGCCTGATCTCTGTTTTGGGCTTATTTTCAAGGAATTCCGAAAGTTATCTAAAGTTTCAAGCTAAAATCATTGCATCATAGTGTAATAGATGCTCCATTTGAAATAAAATATAAACTGGTATTGACTGCAGCAGCAGAATACTTGGGATTTATTCTCTTTTTTTCTCCTAAGCCTCCATAAAATGATTTAAAAAAAAAAACTTTTATGTAGAGTATTAGTTTAAATAATACTTAATACAAATACCAATCACAGTCTGATATTTTTATTTTTCCGAGTAGAAAACACACAAACCTTAACAAGGCTTTTCCAGCAGCCTCCACACACATGCCTTAGTTTAAACCATAGCTGCCTCCCTCTGCTTTGAGGGTTCCTGTCTGATTTCTTCCCCTTGCACTGGATCTGAAAGGTCTTTGGGTTGAGCTGAACGTTCTACCGGTACCTCAGTCTTAATCAGGTGGGTCAAATCTGGAGATGTGAGAGTTAAAAGTAGGTTTAAGATTTTATGTTCAAAACATATACACCTTGGAATGTGTGGTTTTAACCCATTACCATTGAAGTCAGCAGTTATAATAAGATCATCATTCTTGAGAAAGTTCCTCCGCTGGAGGTGGCTGTGAGAAATAAATGTGCTCCATCCATAGTCCACACTTCGGAAGCACTGGCAACTCTCGTCCCAAACTGCTCCAGACGCGGTAGTCGGCTTGCCAAATCTGGTATTATTATCTAAGGTGAAAATTGGTAAAGACAGAAATCAAGCTTGGATTGCACAGAAAACCTCATACTTTAGTCATATCTGTCCAGAAATTCCTTTGAAAAAGGTGATGCTGGCCAATAAGTGAAATTATTGCCATAACAACTGATAAACCTTTTGAACCTAAATTTCCATAAAAAATGCATTACAGAGCTGTGGAATATAAAAGCAAACCAGTATAAATCAGAGAATATAATTTTTTTTTTTTTTAGCTGAAGTCTCTTGAACAAGCAGTGTGAGTCAATTTAATTTTTTTTAATATATTTAATATTTTTTATAATCTGGCAATAAAAATTAGGTATCTATTATTTTATTTTGGTTTTGTGAAGTCAAATTATATTATATTGTATCCATTTTACCAGACATAAAAGACATATTTTACTGTGAAGGTTGCAAATAAGAGTCCAATAGCTAAGAGATATGATAAGATATGATAAGATATGATTTTGAAGCCCAAAATTTCCTAGCAGATCTTGAACTTGTCATTCAACAAACAACCATGCAGTTTCTGTTAATCAGCATAGGGCTGCACAGTAGTTTAAAATAGAGCCCATGGTAAGGGATGTAGTTGATCATCTCTTTCCCTGAATGTTATGCATATCGAGGCATTTGGTCAGTTATTTAAACATTAAAAATGACAACAAGATTCTTTCCCTGAGTGTTTATTATTTTTTCTGCAATTTTTGCTTTGCAACAGATGCAGGTTACAACCTTAGAAAAGGTCCTAAATGAAAAAGATTGAAGTTTGACCCAACTTACTATTGCAGAATTTGTCAGAAACAAACAATATGGATTTTCTGTGTGAACATTGAAATTGTTTTCAAGATCGGCATCACCTAAACATGGTCGAAGTTAAGTTCTATGATCACAGTTTCATCAAGCATAATAGTCTGAATAAAATTAACAAAATTATTTCGGTAATAAATCCTACCTTAACATTTTCAAAGGAATTGCACTTAGTTAATACTTAGGAATAGCGTTTTTTCTAAACAAACACAAGGTTTTGTTGGGCTACTGTATAAAACCTCAAACTCAACGCTATTCCTGACATTTTGAATTGAAAAAGCTTCCTGGATGGAAAGCAAAACATCTTCAAAATTGGAAACAAAGTCCAGTAGATTGTTTTAATATTCTTCTTTTATTTTTGGAATACCCACAAAGTTCTAAAGGAATTATTACATCATATACTTGTGTATAGGAGACTTTTAAATGTTTGAAAAAACTTAATACTGGACATTTAAATTTGTATCCATGCATGGCTAATTTTGGAAAAAAACACCAATGCTGAAGTATTACCTGCTCGTTAGTTAGCTGAACTTCTTAACTCTGAGACCAGTTAATGGCACTTATGACAATTTTAGCTAACAATGTTATCCTTAATCATGATGCATTTATTTATTTATTTGTTTGTTTGTTTAAACATGGAACACAACCAAATCGATAAAGTAATCTCAGTAATTTGAGTTTTTACTGATTTAATTAAGTTTCTTTCAGCTTGGAAACTTTTATGGTTTTTAGTTACCCTCTATAAATAGCATGAATTCAGATTGTCATATCATATTCCACTTTTTTGTTTTATCTGTAATTAAATCAACAAATCTCATGGACCTATCGCATAAGCGAATCTAGCAGTTGAAGTTGTACCATAAAATTGTCAATCCTCTGCCTACCTGTAGTGAAGCTTCTTGTAGACGACATCCTCAGAGTAACATCTGGGTGCTGGTCTAGAGCTACAACTGTGGCCTGCCTGTTTTCAGCAGGCCATTGCATCACTCCATCATTTTCTCCACTGCAGAGATGCACGCAAACACCAACATAGTCTGGGTATGAACTATGTCTTCCATTAGGGTAAAGACTGACTCCAAAAGAGTAGCCCTCAGAGTTATAAACACATTTGCTTTTTACAGCAGTGCCGAGGGGTGTTGTAGCAAGAACTTTTGAAAAGTTGGGGATTTGCCAAACAAGACTGGGACAGACAGTCTCAGTGAGAGTGATGTCATCGATTAAGATGGCGCCTGTGGAGCTTGTTGATCCTCTGGTTCCTTGGAAGATGTAACGGAACTTATGGGTCATCTTAAGATTCACATAAGCTACTTTCCAGGCATCATCACCTTCACCTGAGAAACAAGTTATTGAAGTAATGGTTAGTTTTTCCAGGCATATTCTAAACTCAGTTATTTGTTATTGACCTTCCTAATTGGTAAATGGTAAATGGCCTGTACTTATACAGCACTTTTTCAAGTCAGGAGACTTAACCAAAGCGCTTTACACTACATTCAGTCATTCATCTAGTCACACACACACTGATTTGACCGAGCTCAGGACTCAAGTGTGGTATACCTGTAATGGTGTGAATTTTTGTTAAGGTGTTCACAGCCCCTGTCCCATCATCACTTCTGACCCATACCAA